ATGAAAACACATTCTATGCAAGAACTCAAATTAGACTTTGTAACAACTCTCTGAGGCAGATATTATTATTGTGCTTATTTTGTTGATGAGGAAGCTGAGGTACAGAGAGCCTCGTTTATTCAAAGTAATATGGCTAGGATGCAGCAAAGCAGGGATTTGAACTCTGGCAATCACCACCCCATATCACCTTTGGTTAAATGAGATTATTGCACTAGCAAAGCCAGCCCATATTCAGTTACTCTATATGAGCCTCTCTCACTAGTGGCTTTCTTTTGGTGGGGGGCACCTAGTATGTGTTGTCAAGCACACAGTTTAAAATATTTCCATATTAGAATCCTTCCCTGTTCTCTTTTTGAGAGCCCGGTGTCAACACTCCCAGCTCCAAGAATAGCTCTTGGAAAGTTCTTGCTGCAATTGCAAAAATATTCTTTCCCTCCCTCTTTCACTGGCTGGTTTCCAAGTCTTACGTTATGGGTTTGGGAGTCTAAATAGTGTGAACCTGTAGGCTAAGACACAATCTGGAGTTCCAAAAGAGGGATACTTTTCGGCAGTTGGATGCAAAAGACAGCAAAGTCATGTCACCTGTACCCTGCTGAAGTTTCCTCCTACAGAAAGGATACAAGTAATTACACAACATCTTTCTCCAAATGTTCAGACAAATTGCTTGTACAATAGTTAACAATATAATTCAAAGCAGAAGCTGAAATCCTCATGCAGATGTGCCCCATAAAGACATATCCCTGGGCTTTGAAGTAAGTGGGCATGATCTCTCACTATTGCCTTCTTATTAACTCTGTTTAGGCAGTTACATAACCTTTTACGAGCCTCAGTTTCCCCATCTGTAAAATAGGAGAAGATTAGCTTTCCTACAAGATGGTGAGCCTGGTGTATAGTAAGCAGCCAATAAATGCTCCTGTAAGTCCATTTGATGATGTCTGTGCCTATTTATCCTTTCCATGCTCTGGTCAATAGCTTTTTCTCTACTTTGAATACTTGCCTATATGGACATTGGCTCATGGGAAATAGAGTCTAGATAAATGCATGTGAAATTCATTGGTTTCTACAGGCATTCCTTGTGTGCCTAGAACTGAAGTAACTTCTGGGAGGTGGTACTGAGGGAATTTTAAAAGGGAAATGAAGTTGTCCTTGCACACAAAGAGTTTATTCTCAGATCTAGGAACACACAAGGAGATTAATGAGAAAAGAGTTTTTTAAAGCTCAGCAGCCAATGGATATTGTGAAAACGAAGTGAATTGTGTAAATAAGTAATTACTGTGTTCACCCAACTTGGAATCCCCCCACCTCCTGATGACAGACACTTGTGTCTAGTTCAACATGTGTTACAGTTTTACGTGTTTCTTGTGTTGGGTGCATACCCACCTTGCTGAATGGACTAGTGTTCTCCAACAGAAATGTAATGTGGGCCACATTTACAAATTTAGATTTTCTAGTAGCCTTATTTAAAGAAAAGTAAAAAGACACAGATGAAATTAATTTTAATAACATTTTAACCTAATATGTTCATAATATTATTAGTTCAAGTAGTAATCAATGTAAAAATGATTACTGTGATGTTCACATGCTTTTCTGTCATTTGAAGACTAAGTCTTCAAAATATGGAATGCATTTGACACTTACATCACATCTCAATTTGGCCTGGCCACATTTCCAGTGCTCAAATAACCACATGTGGCTAGTGGCTCCCGCGTTGGGCAGGGAAGAGCTAGACAGTGGCCTCCTTGAGGTATAGGATCTTTTATTCTTCTTTGTGTCTCCACTCTATGCATCTTTGTACCTGGAATCTGATCTGCCTTATGCCAACTCGGTGTTCAATACTTTTGTTGTATGGGTTTGAGTTCCATTTTCACACTTCTGCACCTGCCATCTTACCTGACTACTTTTCTCACCACTGCTTCATTGAGTGATACTGTCTTCATTTCTCAAAGGTTGCCCACATGCCCCCTTTTATCACCTTTAATCCCTAGCTGGCACCTGTCCATTGCTGGAGTCAGTGAGAAACTTGTTCACAATGCACCAAGTAGTGGTTCAGTTCAACCCTGCTTTGTCTTCAGGATCTTGTGGCAGGCTGTCTTCAGTCCTGGAAATCCCACTTAAAGAGTAGAGGCTGAGGGATTGGAACCAGTTAAAAGGAGAGGAGCAGAGAGTGATAAAAGGTTGCAAGGGTGGTATTTATGTGATGAGGATGAGAAAGAAGAGCATGTGAGTCTGCAGAGGAGGATGAGCTGGGTGAGGTGCTCAGACTCTGGCAGGCACATGAAAGGATGTACCAAAGAGGACAGGGACCAATTATTCTCATTATCCAGTTAGCAGGGGTTGGATCACTGGAAGGACCATTGAGATTGCAAAGGAGACAAAATTCAACTGTAGAGAGAAAAAAAGAGGCCTGTGGCATCAAATATACCTCTGTCTGAAGCTACTCTATCTACAGTCTGTGATGCTGAGTAAACTACTTAATCTTCCTGGACTTGAGCTTTGGTGTCTCTATGTCTACAATGGAAATAAAGTTTCAACCTTAAAGATTATCTTGACTATGCAATGATACTCAAATGTCTGCTGTGCATGAGATGCCAACAAGGAAACTAAAGGAATTGAATTCATTTTAGACAGAAATATTTCTTCTTTTCAATTCTTCCAATTCCACCCCTCCTCCAACTCTTTGGCTGGCTTTGGAATTCTCATGAAATTAGATGTCAGTGTTTCCAAATGTCTGAGGAGAACACTATTAATGGCATGAGACTGTGAGAAGGTTGTTCTTTTCCGAATTCTCTTTCTCTTTGCCTGGAGAGATTCTCAGTTTGGTGTCACTCTTTAATGCCTCTTCAACATTTGTTTCAGTCTTTCTCAAGGACAATAGAAAAGGTCTCAGGAACAAAGCTTTGGGTGAGCAACATTATCTACCTGGAATTTAATAGCATAATAAAGTTTACATAGTAATTTCTATTTAGGATAATTCATACTTAAATTCCATTTATTGCAATGCGATGGTTTTCTTGTAGAGTAAAGTAATTTCAGATGAAAGTGATCAATTAAAATACAGTAAGTTGATGATAGTATGTATGGTACAGACCTGGTAAAATTGTAAAGGTGCTCTAGAAATGGCTGAGGTTTGGGTAACACCAATCCAGGCCAATATTGTCGTTTTATGGCAGGAATTAGAGTGCCAGTGAGGGGAAGTTTCTTGTTTGCCCATGGACAGCACAACTTGAATTCACATTGGAGCAAGATCTGCACTGGGTTTTGGAGATGTGGGTGATAACTTCTGCCCTACCACCGCCATATGCCCATGGGCAAGTCACTTTCCTCTGAGAGCTTTTGTTTCTGCTAAATTATATTGATTCGTGGAGTTCTTTACTACTCCGAAACTTACTTGGGGATATCCCTAATCCCTTTGCCCTTTCATATCTCAAATATTCTAATGGAGGACTTCATGCTCTGGTGGTGGAAATGAGGACTGATAAGGACAGGGGAGAAGGTTGCTACCTGTTCAGCCTCATCATCGTTCTTATCTGAGTGACTGGTTCAACGTCCCCATAGAACTGATTAAAGTGACAGCTCCTTGGAACCAATATAGTACTGACTCCTTCAGAGGATGGTGTGGGACTAACTCCTCAGACAGCTAACTTTCTCAAGATGGCTCTATATGTAATATCTGCTTTTATTTTACTGATGGTTTTAGCTTTATTAATGACTTCCAGAATATAGGAACAATATTGGTACAGTTTTTCCTGCAAATGGATGTTTGATTGTGAATATTATTTGGTTAATTTTCAAATCCTTTTTAGTGTTTAGTTATGGCTAATTAGAAAAGTTAATAATATATTCTTAGTCTGGGATATGTAGTTATCCCAGATATATATAAGGTACCTTACCAATATAAGGTGACACCTTATGTTGCCGTGGTCATATGGAGCAGGAGTCAGCAAACTTTTTCTCTAAAGGACAAGATGGTAAATAATTTAGGCTTGCAGACCATGTGGTCTCTGTCACATTACTCAACCTTAGTATGGTAGCATAAAAGCAGCCATAGACTACATATGAACAAATGAGCATGGCAGTGTTCCAATAAAACTTGATTTACAAAATTAACCAGCAGAATGAATTTGGCACTCAGGCTATGGTTTGCCAAACCTTGCACTAGAATGTATTTATTTTCTAAACTTCACCCTATGCCACATGCACACACATACTCACATCCTCACTGACATTATTTAGGAAGCAAGATTGCCTAGTCTTCAAGGAGGGCTTGGACTGGGATAAGACCTTTCTGTGTACTCAACCTGATGTCCTGTGAATCCTAAAATGAATTAAAATTTTGTACCTTTTAGAACTCATAAGAATTAAATAAGATACAAATGTAATATGCCCGACATATGGTAAATACTCAGTAGGTATTATATTCCAAGCTCTAATCCCCATCCCAACCCTTCCCCCGCCAAGGTAATATCAAACCAGAATTGCAGAATTTGTGTCTCCCTCACAAATTACTTATAGAACAGCTCTTTCCACCCTACATGAGTCTGGGTCGTGCAGACACAATTTTCTCAGGTGCCGTGTGTGGCTATTCTTGGCTTTCTGGCTTGATCCTCTGAATCTAGGGTGTGGAGAAAATCAAGCAGTCTCTTCCAGGAATTCAGTGGAAAAGAATTTCTAGGCAGATTGCCCAAAAGCTACACTGTATTCTTAGAAAGTGGCTGTTGTATCAGTTAAGAGTTGACTATGTGAGACCATTGGCAGAAGTTGTTCTTTGAGGACTGACCCTGGGTCTTAGTGTTCCAAGGGCTGTGAATAACAACACTCACCACCATTTCCGTGATCAAAGACCCACACCGCCACCCAAACAGTCCTGGGATGGGGTGCTTCTGTCACTTCCTACAATCTGGGGACACATTAGCTCTGCCCAGTCCAAAGCTGAAAACAGTGGAAGAGAAACAGCAAAGAAGACAGGACTTCAGCAGGTGACTTGGTCTTCTTTTCTTCAGCTCTGCCCAGAAGGACCCTGTGTTAGACCAGCTGAATTCCATTCCCTCCCTGCCATGTTGGTACAAGACCTCCAGAACGCTCACTGCCTTGGAGTCATCGAAAGGTAGAGCTGAAATGGCCTTTGAAAATGCTCTAGTCTAACTCTCTCATTTTCTAGCATTGGAGGTGGGGCGGGGGCAGAGGGTTATGTCACTTCATAAAAATCACACAGATGTGATATTAAAGCAGCTCTCCTGGATTTCCCAGTTCAGGGCTATAGTCACAGTGAGATATTTGAATTTGAGAATCTTCCTGTGATTTAGAAGGAATGTTTCTCCTTTCTTATTTTATAACCCAAATTACCAACCAGCCCCCTATACCTGTATATGTCTATAATTAATATACATTTTATAGAAGCATATGTGTCCATGTGCATATATAATATATATCTACCTCTGTGTGTGTATATAGATATATGTAAATACATAATTTATATATGTTTACATATATAATTTATATATATATATACAGAATTTACTTTATTCTTCAATTTATTTTTCATCTGCTTTGTAAATATTGAGTGACGTCTATGTTTCAAGTACTATAATTATGATCCTGGTAGTATGTGTGCATATACATGCATGTGCATTCATATGTGTGGTGGGGAGTATACCACAATAGTAAGCAATTCACAGTACTGACTTTCAAGGAATTTATAGTCTCATGGTTTCTGGAGGTAAGAACTTCAAAAGGAATTAGCTGGGCTGATCTTGCTTGTGGCCTCTCACTGGATTGTGGTCAGATGTTGGCTGAAACTTCATTCTTCTGAAGACTTAATCAGGGCTGGAGGACACCTTCCAAGTTGGCTCATTTATGGAGCTAGAAAGCTGGTGCCAGCTGTTTGCTAGGGTCCTTAGCTCCTCTCTACAAGGGCACATGAATGTCCTCAGGGCATGGTGTCTGGTTCCCTAGAGTGGGCAATTTATGAACCCTAGGTGGAAGACACAACACCTTTTATGACCTAACCTTGGGAGTCACATATCTTCACTTTTGCCATATTTTATTGATCACATAGGACTGGCCATACATTGACATGGGAAGTCTCTCCACAAGATCATGAATACCAGTAGGTGGGAATCACTGGGGAACATAATGTAAACTGGCCCCAGCACATATTCTGAGTGGGAAACGTATGGATAATTATAATTATGTGTGGTAAATACCATGAAAGTGGAAGTATACAGTGTAAGAGAGCAAATGATGGGTATAGATAACCTTATCTGAGATTGGGGAAGGTGGCAGTACTGGTGTTGTTAAAGACTTTTTGGAGAAAGTAGTTTTCATCCTGAGACATGATAGTTGAGTAGAAATTGGACAGCTTGGTAGTGGATGGTGTGGGAAGAGTATTCCAAGCAAAGAAAAGAACATTCTTTGGGTTGCAGCTAGAATGGCATTTCTTCCAAAACTCTAATCCCAGGAGATGCAGGACAAAAAAAGAGCCGTGTACTTAAATAAATTGGGAAAATGTAGTATACTGCAGTTCTTATGAGAGATTTACATTTCTCACTGACATCAATATCAAAAGGCTTGAGAAATTTTGCACTAAAGATACCTTTTAACAATTTAACCCTAAACTTACTTGTACAGGGACAAATTTAATGTTCTGCAGAGCACATTTTGGGAAAAGTTGCATTAGACAAATATCAGTGCTATCAGTTATTGCCAAATCCTTTTTAGTCTTTCTCAGAAACTTGGAGGGATAAGGGAAGAAGCTATGCTTGTTTTCTTAAGTTTTCTTACTTGAAGAGAAGGGAGCAGAGAATTCATTTATTTATCCAGTGTGGTAGTGAACATTCTTTTAACTGCAAGAGAGAAAATCTGATTTAAATAGTCTGAAATAAGGAGTAAGGAAAGGATCCAGTTCAGCTTTCTACTTATGGCTAGCCAATTTTCCCAGCCAGCACGCATTTTATTAAATAGGAAATCCCTTTCCCCCATTTCTATAGTCTCTCCCAGGTTGGTCAAAGAATCAGATGGCTATGTAGATGTGTGGGTATTTATTTCTGAGGACTCCTGTTTCTGTTCATTGTCTATATCTCTGTTTTGTACCCAAAAGTGCCATGCTGTTTTTGAGTTACATGGTAGCCATTGAGTATATTCAAGTCAGGTAGCAATGATGCCTCCGAGCTTTGTTCTTTTGACTTAGGATGTCTTGGAGATGCAGGCTCATTTTTTGGTCCATAGAAACCGTTTAACGCAAAGTTTTTGTCCAATTCTTGTGAAGAAACTCATTGAGCTTGAATGGAGACGATGGAACTTAATTCAAGAATGGATTCAAGAGACTCTAAATGTTTATGACCTAAATACCAAAAAACCCGAGAGGAAAACCTAGGTATAACCATTCAAGGACATAGGCATGGGCTAAAGACTTCATGTCTAAACACCCAAAAGCAACGGCCAGCAAAAGCCAAAAATTGAACCAAATGGGAATCTCATTAAACTAAAAGAGCTTGCATCAGCAAAAGAAACTTACCATCAAGTGAAACAGGCAACCCTACAGAATGGGACGAAAAATGTTTGCAATTTACTCATCTGAACAAAGGCTAAATATCCAGAACCTACAAAGAACTCAACAAAACAAACTTACCAAAGAAAAAACAAACAACCCATCAAAAAGTGGCAAATGGAATAAATCAGAACATTTCTCAAAAGAGACATCTCTGCTACAGACCAACAGAACACTGAAAACATGCTCATTCATCACTCCCGGCATCAAGAGAAATGCAAATCAAACCACAATGAGAATAACCATCTCACACCTAAGTTAGAAATGGCGATCATAAAAAGTCAGGAAACAACAGGTGCTGGAGAAGATGTGTTGGAGAAATAGGAACACTTTTAACAACACGGTGGTGGGATTGTAAAACTAGTTCAACCATTAGGAAAACAGTATGGGCGATTCCCTCAAGGAATCTAGAACTAGATGCGTACCATATGACCCCAGCCATGCCCATTACTGGGTAATATACCCAACGATTACTAATCATCTGCTATAAAGACACATGCACACGTATGTGTATTGGCGGCACCTATTCACAATAAGCAAAGAACCCGTGGAAATCCAACCCAAAATGTCCACAGTGGACAGACTGGAGTTAAGAAAATGTGGCACAATATACACATGGAAAAATACTATGCATGCCATAAAAAAGGATGAGTTCGTGTCCTTTGGAGGGACATGGATGCAGCTGAAAACCATCATTCTTAGGCAAACTATCACAAGAACAGAAGACCAAACCCCGCCATTTCTCACTCATATGTGGGAAACCGAACCAATTAGATCACTTGGACTCGGGAAGGGGGAACATCACAACACTGGGCCATCCATAGGGGCAGGGGAGAGGGGGAGGATAGCACCTGGGAGTTACTACCTGATGGAAATGACAGAAGTTGATGGGTGCTGAACCGAGTTGATGCGTGCAGCACACCAACATGCGCAAAC